AATTTGATACACAATTCTAATAAAATATTTGAACAATAATAGTTTATGAAGGCATCATTCGCAGAAAATAATCAACAAGTAAATGTTCTTCGTCAAGAAATATGTCATATCAAAAGCCAACTCAAAGAAGTCACGAACTTAATCCAACGACTCAATCAAACTTTATTGAAGGATCCGTCACCTAGTTATTAAGAAACGGAAAGCAGAGACTGATATTTTATTATTTAAATTCATTTATTGTGAAATGCATCCATGGTGATTTTATGTTTTATTACGTTTCTTAGATTTAAGTTTAGTATGTAAAATTTTTATTACGCTCTTTTTATGTTTAATATATTAGATTTCTTATTAAGCCTTTTAGATTTTTCTAAGTTTTATTTTTAGTATATAAAATTTTTTATTATGGTTTTTAAATTTTTCTAAGTTTAAAAGTTTGTATAAAATTTTAACTCCAATTTCTACATAAGGGCTAATATTTAGAGTTACGTATATTTAAGGTTTGGGATGTAGAGTATTTTTACTTAAAGCATCATACAATTGATTATCTAGTTTTTTTATTAAACTTTATAGGTGCATATTAGTAAAAGGTTTTTAAATTTATTATTTTATTTATCCATTTTCATCTTATTGGTTATTATTGATTATATATTCTTTACTAAAATTTGCAAATTAAGTAGTAGGCGTATTGCTAGTAGTATATAGTAAATATATAGTAATAATAAAATAATTATATAGTAACTTGAAAACTAAAAAAATCAACAATAGTAGTGTACTGCTAACTTATAGTTAATATAAAGAAAATTGCTATATGGTTAATTGCAAATTGCTATTTTGCAAGTTTCAGTAAAGTTATTAAAATGATTAAGTGATAATAACCTACAGATATTACATGATTTGAGTTTATGTTTAAATAATACCTTTTGCATAATCACTAAATAAAAATAGTTGCACCAGCATGTGATATCACACAAACCAGTACGATCCCAGAGCACTTTATTCTCTTTTAAAGATTACTACTATATCATTAACTCATTCCTATACTTGCTTTTTAATATCCCATTTAATTATGGCTGTCAGACCAAATAGCTTTTAAAACAGTTGCAAGCCCACCGTTGGCTATAAACTTAACATTTTTTTGTCAAAAGGAATCTATTCAAAAATTCTCTTTGATTATTAATACGTATTAAGTTGCAAGTTTTAAATAAATTCATCAATTTCTTTGTTTAAACTACTCCATCTCGAAACTTTACATCATTATATTATTTGATACGATTTGTATGTATTTGGCTGTTGACAGTCTTCACATGTTCCATATAATCTGGATCCATTTTGTATATCATTCAATGAAAATTCAGAATATATGAAAGAATCTGTTATTTTAATTTCATTCTCTTGAAAATTATCTCAATATCTGCAGTTAATAACCTTCTTTCATACCCATATATTTAATTTTTGTTAATAAATGGATGATTTATTTCGTCTTTTTTAACACTGATTCCATTTTTATAACAATTAACAACCTGAAAAGTTTCTGTAGCATCTTCTATGTCAGCTGATTTTTTGTAATAAGTAAATTCATCCTTCTCAACTCCAATTTCTTTTTTGGTAACACTCGCCTAGACTACATGTCCCTTAACATACTCCATTTCGGCTGATATTTGATAATAAGTAAATGCATTATACTTAGGGCGTTCTTAAACACCTATCTCAATGAACTTAATAAAAAATCCTATTTGCTAGATTGATTAAACAGACCAATCAGATTCGTTATTGAGTCCATTGATGTAGATATTCTTAGCTTCTTTGATTCCAATTCCAAACTGATAGTAATTACCAACTTTAAACAGTCCATCAACATGCCTATTTGAGTTTAAATAATGAACGAATGCTTCTTGTTGCTCCTTTCAATTTCAGTTCCGATTTCGTAACACTCTGCAACTTTGAATATCTGATAGGGTCACCCATTTCTGCTAATTTTTTGGTAACATGAAAGTGCCTTTTCTCGCTATAGCTGAAAATTCCAAAGGCATTTCCCATTTTAACAGATTTTGATAATATATGAATGCTTCATTTTCTATCATTGCAGATTTTTGATAGTAAATAAATGCCTTATGTTATCTTTTTTACAACTTTAATTCCACTCCGATAACAATATTCAATATTACATGCTCCATGTGCTCTGCTGATATTTGATAGCAAATTAATACTTTATTTTCATCCTTTTCAACTCCAATTCCATTTTCATAATTTCATAATAATACAGTCAATTCTCTGTTAGTGTATCCCCTTGGGACCATAGGCAAAATTTTCAAAAAATGTGCATTTATTAAGATCCTTTTAGATGTTCTATAGAATAGGTGGGTAATATAAAAAATAAACTCCACTTATGATTAGTAATCATTAATAGATATTTGGCGGAGTTTGTGGAGTTTGCCCACCTATACTATAGAACATCCGAGTTGGATATGTTTAGGACTGTATATTGGTGTGTATTTAGAGAGGGTATATGGGGGTGAGTCAATAGAAACGCACCAAATCTTTTTTAATGAAATTTTTTAAATTTTAAAAAATATAACTCAACAAAAACTTTTTAAATAGTTTCTACAAGTTATTTTTTAAATTTTAAAAAATATAACTCAACAAAAACTTTTTAAATAGTTTCTACAAGTTATTAGAATTATTTTTAAAAAAATTTTTATTAAATTTTATTAAGTTATTATTAAATTATTTTTGTTCAAAGTTCTAAAAAAATTTACTTAGAAAAAATTTTGTGCGTTTCTATTGACTCACCCCATATATAGTGCGAGTGCATTAATCCTAATAAAAAACTTTATTCAACCAGCTACCGAAGTTAATTGTGCCAACTTCTCCTTTTAATAATTTTACCAATTTAAATTTTTTTGTTGCAATAACAACGGAACCACCATATCGAGTCGTTAGTAAAAGTATCTTTACGGCAACAAGGAGAAGCTTTTTTCGTTAATTATTATTTTAAAAAAGCTTCTTGATTATTCGCAACCTATAATAATTTTCTGCACCTTCTATTTCGCACTGAAAGTAGCATATATAATATGAAAACGTTTCGAAAAGAGTTATAACCTTAATTATCCGTTAAATAAGAAAAAACATCTATCCTAAATCCCAATTTTGGGTCTTCCTTACTAGAAATTTAAATTCAATAAGCAAAACGAAATTGCAATGTTCATTATAGCTTGATTAAAGGTTAAAAGATGGGTCGTATTTAGAGTATCGATTATTTGTTTTAAAAGCTTCAAGTTTTAAAAATAAAATTTTATTTTTTTTGGATTGGGTAAAAATTGGTGAGAATTCGTTGTTTAATATGTTAGATATGTAAAAAATACAATGGCAATGCTTGGATGACCGTTATTAATGGTAAGTTTTTGAGGATAAAAGATGGTTTTTATCTTCCTCTAATTCATAGAGTGAGGTGCTTGAGAACACCCGAAATTGTATAACTTTTATATTCGTCGGTTTGCAATACTATATAGAAAACAAAATCTATTTTAGTCGGTAAATATACGCGAAATTATATTATACAATTAGAAGTTGTATACATATAGAGTGTAGGGAAAATAATATTTCCCACCAAAGCCAGATACACTATATATAAATCTAAATTTATTATCTATGATTAACAGACCCAAGATATTATAAGATTCAAACATACTTAATCATAAACCCAAGTCTTTCATCGCGGCAAGCTTATAACAGTCAGTCTAAGCAGTTGGTGACAGTAATAGTAAGTAACCTGAAATGACGCAAATGACACAAATGACAAATGAGAGCCAATGGCCTATTTGGTCATTTAAATTTTATTGTTGGAGATAATGATTTGTTACAACCTAATTATTGGGGCAACAATATTAATGCAAATTAGGATTAGAATGAAACGACCAGGCTCAATAAATTCTGGGCCGAGTTCGGATTTTTTTCAAACCCGATTATGATGCTATTAATATCTGCAAAATAACATGTGTAATTTAATTTAAAAATCGTATTGATTATTACAGTATTTGCTCAAATTATTTGTTATATTATTTATGCTTGTAAATGAGTAAGTATTTATATTAAGATTTTTTATTTTAGTACTTATCTCGGCAATATTTTCATTAGAAGGCTTTTAGATTTCTTAAAAGATCAGATCGACAACTTTTGCAATACTTGAATGTTTCGCTTTGCACTGTTTAATCAAAAATTAGAACGATAATAAGCAATAATAATGAATGGATCCTGTATTACTTCAACTGTCACTCATTAAGATCTCATTTACATATATGCGATATTCAGAATAACGGCCCCGAATTAAACGGGACAACATAATTTCGGACATTATCATTAGGGCAGATATAGAACTAAGGCTAAGGTTAGTGCAATTTATAAAAAACTTGTCAATAAAATGAGCAATTGGTGAAATAAACTGTCTGTGAAAGTTAACTTGTAAAATAAGCTTGTCTGTAATTAATTGTCTTTAACTAAGTTGTCGGTGAAGTGATTGTCAGTGAAATAATGCGGATCCATCTCTAATCAAAAATCTCTGCACATATTTGTTTCAGCAATCAAATACCTGCAATTTTTTTTTAATAATATGCTGGAGGCGCCAAATCCATATCTTACCATAATTATCGATATTCGATATAATATACCAATATATAAAAAATTTATCGCTATTGCATAGTTCTAATTTAAGCCCAAATGGTTTAGAAACATGGATCAGGCTCTTTTTGTGAGATGACTTTGTATATTTTATTAGATTTGCCGGATCTCAACGCTTACCTACAATTCAAGATTTTAACGTCTCATTAGATTCTTGATATTTTACCAAGGAGTTTCATCTTTTGGGCATAGTTTCGTTTTTTCGCCATCCTGAGAATAGGTTTCACCAAACAATTATAGCCTGACTCGGCCTATTCTGAACTTGCATAATTGTTATGCAGCCATGAGTCATTTCCAAAATGACCAAGAATTGAAATGACTAAGGGTGTTCTCAAGCACCTTAGTCAATCTGTCGGAATGGATCTGAGAATAAATTTTAATTAGTAGAAAATTAGTTTAC